CTCCTAGTCTAGTACTATTGCATCTTACTGCCTTCCCATTTAACCAAAGTGTCAAGCCCCAGCTGAAGGGGAAGGGGCTAGGGGAGAGAAACCCATAGCAGGTTGACAGAGGATGGTCAATGGGCCTGGGGGATGAAGGTTTTGGAAATGGCTCACAAGGGTATGGGTGAACACACAGTTTTAGGGTTCCTCACTGAGCTTTCTGCTCTTGGTTGTATGGATGGCCAGCCTCACCTTTTCAGGAGGAGGAGGATGTTGTTGGAGGCAAAATCCCAGCAAGAAGCTCTGTATTGAGTAGACTGAGCTTGGCTCTCTGTAGTTCCCTACCTGCTCGGGGCAGTAAGGTGTCCCACCTGAGCTCCCAGGACAATGTGGCGCTTCATTTATACTAACTCTTTAGCAGGCTTGTCTTCCAAAATGTAGATTGAAACACAGGCTTAATTTCTGTTTTCTGTTCCGCCATATGTCATGAACATTGCAGCAAACATGGCACTAGGCCAATTCTGGGAAGTGGACCCTTCTAAGGAACAGCGTGGTCAGCCAGCTGCTTGCTGACTTACCAAATACCACTGTTGGGATGAGGGCACCCTCATTTTTCAGAAGCAGCATTTATTTCCCCTAGCTCCAGGGGAGAAATAAAGTAGAAGAATCGCTGATTATATTGCCTTTTTCTTTTTTTTTTTTTTTTTTTTTTTTTTTGGACTTCTTTTCAGCCTTCCAATTAAACCAGGAAGTATAGAAGTCAGGAAAATAAATCTGCAAAACAGTCAGCTGTGCTCACCACTTGTGGTGGTGAGTAACAGAGCCAGTAGTACCTTCTCATGGAGAGGACTAATGACCTACAAAATTGATCACTGTTGGAAAGCTGCAGTCTCTCAGATGTCAGCATCTCTTCAGCATGGTCACTTGTTCTTATAATTGTTTTCACGGTAATTTAAGGTGCACCTTAAGAGCTGGGAGATTTTAGTATTCCCAGTTGATGTTTAAGGTAGAGCTACCTTCATGAGAACAAAAGAGTTTTATTAATTAAATGGACTTAGGAATGTTATCTCCTATGGAAGGCAACTTCTATGGAACAGGTCATACCTGTGTAATTAAACTCTTTGCCCTCCAAAGCAAGGTAGCCACATCCAGATCACTTGTTGGGACCTGTCTTTGGCCCGAGCTAACTTCTCAGCTATGCAAAGAAATCATCTGGGGCAAGGGCTACACAGCCAGAACTACAATCACACTGAGACACATCATTAGTATGATCCCATTCCCTGGAATTACTGCAGAAGTGTTGTTGGAAAATATGTAGCTTAACAGGCTGGACAGCCATACAGACATTAGTTTAAAAAAAAATTGTTATAAAGGTCCCTTATAGCCCCAGCAGCATTCAACCTGTGAATCTTTAGGAGAGTGTCCCTTCTGGCCTTGACAGCAGTATTAAATAATGGATCCTGAGCTCAACATTGAACTAAACATTTTAGGCAGTGTTATTAACAAAAGGGAACCTGCATCAGTAGCTGCTGCTAAAATGCCTGTGGAGGAGTTTCTCTGCACCTGCTGGAGAAGGAACCCAGCTGGATGTGCAATACTGATATGAACCATGAATGTGGCATCTCCTGGATTTCGGTAGCATTGAGCTCATGCATTTGACTGTACAGCTTTTGTAGGTTTTTCTGGAAGCTCATTCTGCTCTAACTGCACACAAGACAAATAGTCTGCTGCTAAAATGAGATGAGTGGGGCTGTATCACAAGCATAAAGCATTAGTCCCCAGCAGTCTGGCGCCTATGCTCTTGCCAGTGGTGGGAGGAGCAGCAAACAAACCAGTCTCACTGGCAGCAGAAAAGCTTCTGGTGAAATCTAAAATAATCTGTTTCATGTTCACCACAGCAACCAACTAAATTTTGTCTTTAAAGCTTTTTTGCTCTTCCAACTTCTTCCTTTTCTTTCACACCTGAGGAACTCAGTCGATCTATCTGGGGCTTGCCCAACTCTGTGTTGGCAGCTTGGAAGCGATGGGATGGGGGTTCAGCAGCTGCTTCCAGTGACACGCCTGCTCTGCTGCTATTTCTGTGCAGTGTGGCTCCACAGGAAAGCCTCCTCTGTGCACATCACAACTGCCTTGGCCCTGTGGCTTAGCAGTAATTTATGGATCCATGTTTCTTTTGAGCTTTTAAAAATAATTCCGATTGAAAGGGTTTGTTCTGGCTCCAGCTAAAGTCGGCAACAAGGGCTGTGGGGACTGGTGTTTGAAGCAGAATTGGGATGCTGTTGCCTTACTCAGGCAACTTTTACCTCCCTTCTAAATACTGAGATTCCCCCCCACCTCCAAGTCATCTGAGACCAGCCAGTGCTCAGCTGTGTGGCAACAGGGGAGAGGAGTGGCAGGAAGCGAGGGTTTGTTCGTTTACTGTTACCAATCCCATTGGAAACCAGCTCCAAGCCCCATGCAGAATTCCAGTAAAACCCTGTCCTAAAGGGAAAACCCGGGGCCATTCAAAGCTTGTGTTTTGTTGGCTTGGGCACAGCATGCTTCTGGGGCCTTTGACCTCCTCCCCATACGCTGGCTCCCGCCGCGGCTCTTCGTTTGAGCTCTCTGTGAAGTGGAATCTATCACTAATGTCTGATATTTTTATTATTTGTAGGGGGGACTCTTAAAAGCTGGTAGCAATTAGAGCTTAAACGTCTTGGAATAAAAAAAAAAAAAAATCCCAAGAAGGAAGTTGAATGCTAAGCAGATGTGCAGGAGCAGCTGAAATATGCTGGCTGTCTTCTGCTTCAGAAGCAACCTCATCCACATCTAGCTGCTGTCGGGCTGGGGCAACTGAGAAGTGCTGCTGCTTTTATGCTGCTTCCTGGGCTGAGAAGCCCACATTGTGGACCTGTGGGATTGTTTACCAATTAATACTTATACTGCCCTTTTATTCTGGCTTAGTTTTGACAAGGAGAAAAAAATTACAATTTTTTTAATTATTATTTGATAATGGCTAACAGAGTTGGGTTTTTATGGTGAGTTTGGTTCTTTGAGGTCTCACACGGGATATCTGTAGATATGGCTACTGAGGATCTAGGTTTAAACTCCCTCTCTTCTTTGGCAGACAGATCTAGGGTAGCCCTAAGCTTGTGGTAAGTGCAGCTTAATACCTCTGTCTTTAATTACTGGGTGTTTCAGCCTTTTGCTGCCAGCTTGGATGGGGGCAAACTTTGACATCTTCCCAGTTGCTCCTACAATACATCATCTGCTTGATTTATCACTGCTGTACTCAGGTTCTTCTGTCTGGAAAAAGATCTGACAGCTGACTGAAGTTCATAATCCTGTTCCCGAAGGCAGTGGAAGTCTATTCAAAAGCTAATAGACAAGTTGCTGACAACAACTCCTTCACACCCTTTTCTGTGCGTGCCCCAAGTCTGTAATAGAAACATGCTGTATATTCCCTCCATAAGCTACACCATAAGTTACTCTGCCAGATGATTTCCTGTTATACTCTACCAGTGCAGAACCTTTTTCATTCTTTCTTAAATGGTAGTCCAAAGTAAATGATTGTAATTTACCACAGTTTTTGTAGTGTATTGTGACAGTGGAGTGCATGGGTTTGGGAGTTAGGTGGTTGAAAGACTTCAAATTTTTCTCAAGGCTGCCACTATAGAGAGCTTATTGTAAAGTAAGCAAAATACTGAATCCATTTGAATTCCAGTTTTGTTCTACACAATGAAAATTGTGTCCCTGATCTAAAGAAAGGATTTCAAAACCTCACCATTCTCCTAGTGCTGAGGAAATGCAGCAATGTGTTTCTTGGACTTCTGGTTTCCATCGGGAAAGTTAGAGAACTGTTTCTTAAGGTTTGTATCGTGCTAGCAATTTCTCAGTTATATATGTACTAAAAATCTGTTCCTGATGTTTGACTGTCTTGGAGATATTCTGCAGTTCAGAAGACAGTAACAACTCAAATAGACAAGGCCACCAGTATAGCTTGCCTCTCTCTCCAACTCATTGAAGGGTACATCTTCTCTGTTATTAAACTGATAGGTCCAGATCAGGGTTCCTCATTGCAAATAAGTTGTGGGGTTTTTTTTTTCAAATTTCATTTTGGAGTTGCTTATCAGATTTAGGAAAGTCTTAGAGTGTCATATAAACACCTCTCCTCCATCTCTTCTCCCATGCAATGTGAGAGTAACAGCTGCCCTTCTGCTCCCTCATCCTACAGAAGGGGAATGCTTGCTGGTTCTTACTTAAAAAATGGGGGCAAACCTGCTAAGTTTTAAAACATGCGTCCAGTGCATTCAAGAAAAAAAGCAGCACTTAACATTAGAGGATTATCTCCAGAATCCCAAGCCAAGTATTTACATCCCGTTTCACAGAGGGGGAGGAATATCTTTTGACCTTGTTGGTAGCAATTCCATTAACTTTCTCTTTAACCAGATCTCTGTCTCAAACATTTGCTAAAAAGATGGAACTTCTAGTCATACTTCGAATGTACCTTTATTGGAGCTTTTTACTCTTTTCCAGGGAGCATTATTTGTCTATTGTTATTTTCCTTAATGTTATTCCAGGGTAACAAGATGTTTGTAGAAACTTACATGTGTTTGCTAAGCTCAGTCTCTCTGAGTTGTCTGTTGGTCTTTTGGGGATCATTAACAGCTGCAAAGCTAAATAGTTTTGCAGATCTGAGGCTTAATAAGTCAAATTGTCTCTTGGTATGTGTTCCCTGTCCTATTGGGAATAAGCTCGGGGCATATCCTATTCTGAGATCTCAGAATTGGGTCACCTACAGATCAGTTTCCTAAGTTCTGCAAATCCCCTAAAACATAAAAATTAACTGGGTGGTTCTTATGACTTGACCTTCCTCTGAGTCCCCATCATGCCAACACTACTCTTAAGAAAAACTTAATGTATCTTTCAAAGCTGTGTTTACTAACTCTCAGACTTTCCAATATGACTGTTTTTTGACTGTTTTCTTGTGTCTCTAATTACTTTCTGTTTTCATGGCTGCCCTATAATTGGATTTCAAGTTTGGATGTCCAGTTTGTCTGAGACTCCAAAAAAGAGCGTCGCTCCAGGTAAATTCTTGCATCTTGGTGTTCTGCATGCTATTAAAAAGAGAATTCTGTAGTCCAAGCTGTGTGTGATTTTTGGAGTTATCTTGAATGTGAGTCTCTGACAGTGGATGCCAGGATGTGTTGTCTTGTCACAAAAATAGGTTTTTCATGATGCACGATTTCTCACAAGGAAGAGCTTTGCTTTTCTGGTGACTACCTCACCTTGATGTTGCTGCTAGCAGTGGTTAGTAGTTTGCTGTGTTTTATTTTCCTTGCCCAACTCAAAGCCACAATCCAAGGCAGCTTCACCCAACCTCTTGTGGTGGGTTGACCCTGGCCCCAGCTAAGTACCTGCACAGCTGTACTCTCACTATTCTGTGTGGGATAGAGGAGAGAAGAAGAGAAGCAAAACTGAGAAATCTTATGAGTCAAGACAAAGCAGAGAAACACGACTACATGCTCCCTATCCTTCTGAAATGTTCTTTTGCATTTCCACAGTAAATAGAAAGGGTGTTACATGAATAAGATGGGACTCTGACAAAGTTGCAGAATTTTCAAGGGAGCATCAATCTCCTTGGTGCAAGGAGCTGGGAAGGAGGAGGGAGCAGGGGAACAACTTCTAGATGAGGTGTCAAGGTCTGGGGAGAAGTAGTCCCATACAAGGCAAAATCTAAGAGATAGACCCTGTGCCTGCACAGGATGCTGGGCTGGTCACCCTGTCAGTTAAGGCTACACGTAGGTCTTGGGGCAAGGAAAGATGGAAACGCTCCTGCTGCTTTCCATACCACATTTGGTAAATATTCAAGTTCATGCCCTGTTCAAAGTATGTGAACAAAATCCCGCCATCCTCAGCAGATGAGTGCTTACTTGCCTGGAGTTTTTAGTGAGTAATACTGCTATGATTCCAGAAATACTATCCTTGACAGAAGTTGAATATAACCTTGGGGGGGGTGCTTTGCCTCATCTTAGCAGAATAGGTCTAATTTCAGGGTGGTAACTGGATATAAAAGTGCAGAAACATCTGAAGTATTTAGTCACAGGAGCCTCTTGGTTGACAGGTCACTGGGAAGTTGAGACAGAAACAGAACGAGACTGAGCAGGAGAGAAACATGTTGAGGAGGAGACAGAAGAAGTGGTGTCCCATAGGAAAAATGACAAGAACCCTTCAGATTACCTGGCTGGGGGGGGTGAGGTAGTGTTTCTCTGACTCAATACATCTGTTGGGACTGTTTCATTGTGTTTATATATAAAGTGGCAAACTGAATGCCAAAGTTTTTAGCCTTCTTGAAAGGCAAGGAAGCAAAATCTTAAATAGATACGATTTTTTTCCCTTCTGCTGACTGCTTTTAGCTAAATGCATGTTGCTAGTTTAGCGTAAAAAAAAATCTGTATGTGATGATAGTGCAAATATAAGTGATAAATTGCATTGCATGGTGCTCAAGAAGGTGAATGTTGATATATAGTGCTGCTCAGAAGTGTTATGTACATTTGGCAGGTTCTTAGCTCTCCATGCTCTTCTAGTGCCTGTGGCCTTTCAGTTTGCTTCTCATCCAAACAAATACCCAGCTTCCAAAGCAGCTATTCTTCAGTACAGATCTGCCATGGGCTGTACCCTGATGTGTTAAGCTGGCAAAGCAGGCTTGAATTTGGATATAATCTTTACCCATGTAGTAAAGACTCGTATATGTGTCTTAGGCTGTGGCTTGGAGGCAGTTTCATGCTGCCCAAGCTCTAGCTGAGGTCATGAACCTGCTCCATGAAGTGGAGAGTCTAACCAAGAATTGCAAGTTGTTTAATTTCCTACTCTGGAAAAAGATGGGTGCCATACAGCCACATCCGCAGAGGTGCTGTGGTGGGGCACTATATGGGTTACTCTGACTGCTGTTAAACTCCTTGGCTACTCTGCTTCATGCCATGTGTTGAACTACTGAGCAGGACTAGGGCAAATACTAGAGTGTATAGGTGACTTCAGCCTGGTGGAAGACTCAGTTTGGCAGCTGTGTGAAAATCTCCAAGCAGTTTAACAGATTTGTGTGCAAATACTTGAGTATTCTTAACTGTTGCTACCTGTAACCTAGTTGGTTGGAATCGCTGTTTGGAGAGCCAACTTTCCAAGAAGGAGTGGAAAGAGGACTCAACTTCTTACTTTCACCCTCCTGCCTCTAATTTTTCTTGGCTCAGTTTTAAAACCTAGCAGATCAAAAATAAAAAATAAAAATCCTGAGACTAATAGTCTCCAATTGGCAAAGGTCAGCACTGAATTTTTCAGGATTTCATTGGAAATGCTGCTGAGGACTGTGAAGAAAGAACTGAACTGGAGCACTTGCTTGAGAGAGTGCCTGCCATTTACCATGGGCCAAGCTCATTCCTGAGGCCCTCCCCTTAGGGGCTGTGTTTTGCTGCTGGTTTTAGCTGTGCATCACACACATGCCAGTGCTGGAAACCACAGTCTACCCTAAAGCTGCCACTTGTCCCAAACTCTTGAAACCTAGATCTTGGTTCTTCAAGTGCTAGAAAATACTACGCATGTCTTGTGCTGGGGAGTGAATCCAGGCATTGGGTTAATTTTCTGCTGCTGTAAATGGTGGTCATACTCTTTTCTTGCTGGCAATGCATGCTGTTGATGTGGGCCCCCTGTAATTTTTTGTAGCAGCAACTCAGGGGGCCAGGAGGGAGTTAATGCAGCTCATGGAGTTACCATCTAGACCAGATTTTGGCATGTTTAGCCAAAAAGATAAGACATACTGGAGTTTTGGCTACTCTGCAAAGAAGCTATTGCCCCATATACTGAAAGGCTTGCAGAGCACATGAGCACTGTGGAGTTGAGGAAGGTGGAAGGATGGATGCTCACTTAGGGAGAAAGTATGTTAATCATGGCTGCTAACCCAGGGTGAGAGGATTTGCGTGCTGACCTGGCCATCACTGGGTGTGTACTCCTCAACCCTGTTTTATTCTTGGACATTCTTTGGGATTTGGACAAGGTTTTAGGCCAAACTTCTCTGGCATTGGGTCTTCTGAATCACTTACAAGGTCAGATCAAAACCATTCCCTTTCTGCTTTCCACCCCATTTCTGTTAAATAGCAGGGTGTCACCCGCTTCTGAAATTACAGAAATGATAGTCTATTAATAACCCATTTGATAGACTTGCCCAAGTATTTATTTTCTTCTCTAATGTGGCAAAGGGGTTTTTGCCAGGACTCTTTGATTGCTAAGACTTTGAGACTGGACTTGTACTGAATTTCTGTAGTAACTGTGGGTGGTGATGAACTTTTGTCTCTGTCTCTAAAGCTTTGTGGCTCAGGTCTGCTATACCAAGAGCTGATGAGCTCTGAAGTTAAATACTAGGACTGGGGGGATAGCTGTCTGGTGGAATGGTTGGAGATGAATCCCCTTTACTATCGCTCTAAGCTGTGAGTGGTCTTTTACCTCCAGGAATAATAGATGTGTAAATATATCCTTAATTTTGGTAAGTGGGAAGGGGGTTGAATAGTGATAGGCTGGAGTGCAGGAGTATCCAGGATATGAGTCAAAGCCCCAGCTGCTTAGGGCACATTAAGAATATTAGAAGGACAAAAATCCAAACCACCAAAACAAAAACCCCTCACTGAATAGAAGAGATCCTAGATTGAGGAACACAGTTTTGATCTGAATCCATATTGTTCCCAAAAGAGATTTGTAGCAGGCTTCATCAGTCTCAGCCTACTGCTTACTCTAGGAATCGGTTATTTTAGGAATTCCTTTTCCAAGACCCCTGTGAGAGCATGAACTTTTGTATACTCTTGTGTGCATTACATGGCAAACTCTGCTTTATCTTTTGTGCAATAGACATTTAACCCAATTTTTAGGCAGATCTAAGCTCTCTATCTTAAAATACTTTGGGATAAATCACTGGTGGAGGCTCAAGGAAAACATGTAATTTTAAGTATGTTTATTTATCATAGTCATGTGGTCCTTCTGATAAGAAAGAAAAGAGGTAAAGTTTTTAGGGGAAGCTGGGTGGATGATTGCTGTGAGGAATTGGATAGATTTGAGGATTTTAAGTAGGCTTGCTGCTATTCTGGGATTTATTTTTTCTCTTCCTCCTTCCCCAAAAGGAGTTTTCCAGAGATTCATAAAGGTTTGCCCTTCAAGAACTGGCTTTAACAAGAAACCACAGCTCTAGATCCAAGCTACCACAGTTACTCCTCCCTATGCGTGGAAAAGCGCAGAGCTCTGACACTGCCATATGGAATGCTGTGACACTTGGGGACATGTCTGCCAGACACCCCTGTGTGCAGACCCTGCACGTGTCCTCAGTTGTGCCCATGTCAGAAGAGCTGGACTACCTGCCAGTTGGTTGTTCAGCTGTGAGTCACCCTTATGGCATTCACTGACCGTTTCTGTGGTTTTGGCTGCCTCTGCAGAGCTTCCACTGACCAGCCCAGTACTAATTCATTTAGTCTCAATCTGTAAACACTTGATTGATAATCATAAAAGGGCAATATAAAAGCCTGTGTGCTGTATGGATTAAAAGAACAGACATGTTTATAGCCTGATAACAACAGAGTAATCTGGCAAAGATCATGAGTCTCAGATTTCCATATCCAGATGATTTTATTTTTGGAGTCCAGTTGGTGGTTTTAATTTTTGGCTATTGCAAAACCATCGTAGGTCTTAGCTGTTGCAACACAGGAGGAGGAGGATGATGTTGTTGGAAGGGGTAGTGTGTGCACTTATTTAAGAGGCTTTCACAGTAGTTGCTGGTCTCCGAGTACAGCAGGAGGAATGATGCTCCCTCCTCGCTGCCTGGTGAGGGGGACACTGTGTCACTTAATAGTGCCAGCTCTGAAGGGCATGACGAGCTCCGATGACATTTCTGCTCAGCCCCAGGAAGAGACTCGCTGAGGTGAGGAGCGGGAGGATTGTAAAGTGGAGCCCTATGGAGAGGAGGAGGGGTATCCTCAAGACTTTAACCAGGAAACGGACTCGAGGCAAAAAGAAATGGAGAGGCAAGCAAACTCTTATTTCAGCCAGCAATCTGTCTTGTGCTCTGCTCTGGGGAGGGCTTGCAAGTTGAAGCTAAACCAAAACACTAATTCTGCTTTCTTGGAGGGAGAGGAGGGGGGACCTTTACCTGGCACATCAGTCTTATCCTATCCTCTCCATTTCTCCTGCCTGGGCTGAAGATGCTTTTAAAAAAGTAGGGCTCTCATGTCAGGGCAGCATTGCAGCCTGCATGTGAGCTTGCTGGGGAACTCGCTCCACTCTGCATCCCTCTTCTCTGGTGTGCTCACACTGAGCCCACTGTGTCCTGTGGTACAAATTAGACCTGAACTAATTGGAGGGATGCGGAAGCGCCCACGGCAGTGGGTGTAATTGGTGCTGTGCTCCCTGTGGTGTTGCCTGTCTTGTTCTTTTGAATCCCTTTTTGGGGGCAAGCCTGGAGTCTGACATAGTGTACCAGCAACGTTGTGGGCATCCTAAGTGTCATTGAGGAGTAATTGGTCTAAAGATGCTTGTGGGGGATGGAAGGCCGAGGAGGATTAAAGTCTTTTACCCTTCTGACTGTGCCTGAAGGGAACGTAGTAACAACCTAAACTAGGCTACCCAGAAAATGTTTAAAGCTTTTGATTACTGGAATGATCTATGTCCTCTTTCCTCCTCTTCTTTTTCCTTTCTTTGCTCCGTTACTGAAATCTTCCCCAATGTGTAGTACCTAATCCTGGATGAGCATCACTCTGGGAGCCACAGGGACCCCACCCCTCAAAAGAAGGATATCCTCTAGGCATGATCTGCTGTACCTGTAAATAAGCAAGTTTGTTTGACCTTGGTTACTTCCTAGACCAAGGAATTTATCACCCTGGTTTTTTGGTGCTAATAGGAGCCCTGTAGCACTTAAACAAGCTTCTGTTAAAACAGTCTCTTAATTGTATACGTTCCTCCAGCCGCTGTAGCGACAAAGAAATCCTCCTGCAGTGAGTAGCTTATCCAAGGCAGGACAGAGGAACGAGCATTTTAAAGTCTTGCTGGATTTCAGATATCTGTATGCAGATATAACCTGTCTTGCTGAACTGTTGTAAGTGGGTTGTGGCATGCTTTTTTGTTGGTTTTTGTTTGTTTGTTTTGCTGGTTGGTTGGTTTGGTTTTGTTTGTTTATTTTTATGTTGTTTAGTTTTGGTTTTGTTGTGTTTTTTTTCCTTTAAAGCCAGAGTTGTGGTGGATTTGGAGTGCAGATTCTCCATGTTTCCTGGCAAGGGCATTCCCCTGGCACACGGCTCCTGGCTTGGCCTCAGTGGCTGCCGGTGGGGTGTTTGCCAGCCTGCACTCCAGCCTGGTCTTCTCCTTGTTCCCAGCAGGGACACGTGCATCACTGTTCCTGCCACCAAGCCAGTGCTGTGTTTTGGATTTTTTTTTTTTTCTTATTCTACTCCCATGAAAACTGTCTAGGAGGTTAGAGGAAAGAAGGCATTTGGGTTGTGGGTTTAGCAATTACCTTTCTGCATGTCCCCTGCTCCCCTTGCCACTGTTTGGTCCCTCATTTTTCTTTTCCGCACGTGGAATTCTCTGCTGGTGCACATGCATAAACATAAAGCCATGATGGCTTTTGTTTCTGTTTCAAGAACTTGTATTCATCTAAAGAAGACTAAAATGAAGTAGGGGTTGTAGGTGTTACTTGTATAAACAGGTCAAAGGAAGATTATAATGCTGCCACATTTTGCACTGGATGAAGGACTGTGTGGAAAACAGTGTGAAAGAGGGGAAAGCATCTTATTGCACTCTAGGCTACCCAACCAGCACTGGTTTAAACCAGAATGTATAAGTCAAGTTGATTCATCATGAAGAGAAACATGATGCTTATTTGGAATGGACAGCTATGGTGAAAATTTTTAATATAAATTTCCATGTTGTCAGTTCATGGTCTTCTCCCCCTATCCCTACTACTGGCTGTGGTTCAACTATCTATATAAAAGCTAAATCTCTTAAACACAAACTTCTAGAGGAGATGACTCCTCTTTAAAGAAAATTAACTTATGTAACTTGAGGAGAGTCAGAGGCACGCTTAGGGAGCAAGGAAGTCTTCTAATTTTCTGGATTTCTTCAATCTGGTCCAAAGGGAGGCATTGTGATAGTGCTTCCTCTCAGGAAACAGTTGAATTAATTGCTTTTTGTTCTAGGATTTTCATTTCACAGGATGCTGCTTTAATGGCTGATGCATTCTTTACCTCTTTCTTGGCAGGGATGCTAATTACTTGTCTGTAGAATCGCTTTACATCTCCAGCCCAAATGCATATGAACATCCTGGGTTTGGAAATACAGGGCCCAGCATCCTGTTCTTGGCTGTCAGTCCCTTGACTTTTCTGGTGGACAGTTTCAGACCATGCTGATTCCTTCCCCGTCTCTTGTAGCCAATTTGTCATCAGAAGTCCAGGAGACCTGGAGTCTGCTCCTAGCTCTGCCCCTGTCACGTGAAATGGGACATTCAGCAAGTCATACATCTGCCTCTGTTTCCCCTTTCTGTCCGCATCTTAATCCAGAGCAACTGCCTCTTAATATGTAAAATATATAATAATGCTGCTGTCCTAAACTGCTGTAATTCAGGTAACCTGTAAAATAATTTTGCATTCAGGCACGTTGGCTCTTACTTTGTAAATTGTAGGTGCTTTTTGCTCTGGTATGACACTTTGAAGACTATAAAATGAGGGCAGGTTAAGAAACCCTGATGTCCAAAAGGTTTTCGTGGCTTTTCAAGGCAGTTTCCAGGCAGAGCACAATCAGTCTGTGCCTGGGCTTGGGAGTGCAGAGGCCCCATCTGCGCTGTTTATGTTGCATCCGAGAGCCGAGATGCGTCTCATGCGGGGAGCAGAGGCACAAGGTCTCCCTCCACATCTGGCACAGTGGTGTGCCTGCCTCGTGACTCCATCTCGAAATGCATGATTTTGGTTTGGGGGTGAAAAAGTCAGAAATAAAAAAAAAAAAACCAAACCAAGAAGAAACATCAGCAGTATGGGGGAAGGGAGGAGAACGGTTATTTTGCACCTTTCTTGGCCCCTGTTTGTGTGAGAGCCTGCTCTCATTCATAAGTGGCTCTGACAGCCAAAAGCTGCTATGAAGAGAAACCGAACTGGGGAGGCTGTGGCTCCAAGAGCTCCAAAAAGGCACCGAGGGGCGATGGAGAGGGGGAGCAGGAGCTTGCTGTGCCCTTGTCCCGCTCGGGGCTGCTCTGCCGCGGGGAATGCGGAACTGCGGAGCTGGCGGGGGGCAGGCGGGGGGTGGCCGCGTTTGAGCAGGGATCTGGCGCTATAACTTTTTTTCTTCTTCTGTTTCAAGTAAACACTCTTCCCCGCCTTCTCCTCGCTCCCTCCACCCCACCTCCCTCTCTTTCAGTCCCGCTCATGTGTTTCTATTTAAGGGCTGCAGTGCAGACGAATATGATTGGCATCTACAGCCCCCTCTTGACTTTCAGCTCAAGCCTTTAGAGTGGAGAAGGAGCTGAGCCGCCAAGGGGAGAGCTGTTTTTTCTTTGGGTTTACTGGGGGGATGGCTCAGCTGTGGATTTATACTGCTTCTGCCCAGGATTTTTCTCTTTGAATGGGAGCAAGGATTGTGGAAACCATGTTGGGAAGAGGTTTATTTTCAGAATCCATCATGAAACTGTACAACTAATTCACGTTTTTGGCTTCTTTTTATATTTTTTTTTCCTCCCCTTTTTTCTTCTTATTCTCTCCAATGTCCCTCTGTGCTGCTGGGTTGTGGGCCAGAGGAGGCTGTTTCTATATGGCCAGCCATTTGGGGATATGCTGCGAGCCAGGGTTGTTTGCTGATTCGCTTGGCTCTGGTGACAAGTTGGCCTGTTCTGAATCGGATGGACGGAGGTCGCTCTCAAGGAGCCATGGCTGGAAGCTGGCTTACGGCTTGCTTTTTCCCTTCCCCAGGTGCTGATGCTAGCTCTGAACCCATGATCCTGGAGCAATATGTGGTGGTGTCCAACTATGAGAAGCAGGAGAACTCTGAGATCAGCCTCCAGGCTGGAGAAGTAGTGGATGTCATAGAGAAAAATGAAAGCGGTAAGTGATATTTGCTGGTTTTCCCTCTTCCAATGGTTTGATTTTTGCATGTGTTCCTCTGCTTTCAGTTTCCTCATCACTACTTGTAGCTGTATGTTAGCTCCATCTGGTACAGTTACTATGTCTGGCAGTGGATGTTGAAGTTTCTCAATGTTGATTTGGGCTGGGGGCCAAATGTTGCCTTCTACTGTAAGAATGTTTCATAGGTTTTGTGTATTAATTAGCCAAGGTACACTAATGGAAAATGAAGGGGAAGGAGGGAAAGATCTGCACCTACTGAAGCTGATGTATAGTAGGCTGCTATAGTTGCCTTGCTGTCTCTTCAAGTTTCTGTCAGTATTTCCATTACTAACTCCCTTTTCGGAGGATTTATAGGATGAGTGTTTAAAAATTGCTTGGGATGAAACTTGGCTTGACAGCCTAGCCCATGGCCCAGAGCTCAGTAGGGAGGGGAGAGAATGTGCGTAGATAAATACGTGGCCGTGCACAGTTTCAAAACTTCTTGCAGAAGTGTTAATTGGGGAATTTTGAGGCAAGGAGGCAGAGGCTGTCATGTAAAAGCAAGATGAAATCCTTACTTCTGCCATTCGTGGAACAACCAGCTTCCACTTGGAAAATGAGACTTTTGGCAAGTGTTTGTATAGATGTCTTTTGTATGCTTTAACTCTTGGATGCCTTGTAGCTTGGAGCTGGGCAGAACAGATGCAGGAGACTGTGTACGTGTGAGTGGTTGGAGTTGGTTAGCAGCTGGTTTGAATAACTGCCTGTCTTTGGCAGCTCCCCCTCCTTCCCTCCAGCACTCCTTGTGTATTAATCCAGAGCTGTTGTCCAGGACTGATTTCCAGCCCACTCGTGACTTGTGTGTCCTCATCCAGAGGAGCTGCTGACATTTGGAGCGGTCCAAGCAAACTCTCACATTGTGGTACCTCCACATGCAGGGCTCTCACAACCGGCTGGCTCTGGAGCGTGCTGGGCACGCCAGAGCTTGGGGAAACTGGGACACCCTGATCTGAGATTCAAATCCAGCTTCCAGAGCTTTGAGCCAGGTTATCCACAAAGATGACCAGGCATTGTATTTTTTTTTTTTCTCCCTTCTTTTAATGGAGTGGTAATTTCTCTCCTGTATGAGAGCCTCATGCTTGTTTGGCTCAAAGTGATGCAGTCATTTGCTGGCTGGTGATTTAGTGTGGTGTCCAAAAGGATAGTGTGTGGAAATGCACTGGCTAGTGTGCACAGAAATGCCTGTCTCCTGGGTGCTGGCTATATCACTTGCAAAACTAATAGAAACCAAACTGTTTATCTGCCCCACTTTAAAACAATAGTTATGATTGAAGGAGGAAAAATGTCTTAGCTTTTTAAACAGCGTCTGGGCTAGTGAACAAGCATCCTCCCTTCCAAGCCTGGGGCTCCTCATTGTCAGTAGTGGGTGTTACTGCCATCAGAGCAAGCCTGGTTATATTCTGGCAATTTATATTCATGATATCCCTGTCTTGGCTAATGACTTATGGAGCCATGGGAATTGGGTTGTTAAATAATGCAAGAAGTGTCTGAATTCCAGTTACAGTTCCTTTGTGTTTTCTTTTAATGTGGCCTCTCTGACTTGCATAGTTCACACCATATTGTATTGAACCACATGGTATGGGGAGAGAGATAGAAATGGAGAATGTCAGGATTTGAATTTAATTAGTGGGTCCAGAAATGTGACTCTTCTAAGGGAACATCCTTGAACTTGGATTACACTTCTTAAAACCATATTCTAATACTTGGCAGTCAGATTTCTTAATGTCCGTGTAAACAAGGAGGGAAATCTGAAGCCTGAAACTCCATGCTGTGATTTGCTCTTTATATTCATATATGTGTAAGATAAATATATGTATATCTTCAAAAAAAAAAAAAAGAAAAAGGCAAATAAACACATAAGTCACAGATTGGTGATGGAGAGAGCATCACTTGCTTGGATCCTGTTGAAGCTGTTTTGGTAGGGAAATCATGGTTTTGTTGTTCCAAGAACGGGACTCCAAACATACTCTTACTCTCTCCTAGGTTAGGGGTACCACACAAATGACTTCAATAATATGACTTCTTGTCTCTTCAGCTATAGCTGAACCTATATTTAATTACATATGGCATGTAATTAAACTAGAAAAAGTTTTGCAAGTGTCAGCTTCCTAAACTGCTTAGTGTAAGCAAGCAAACCTAGGAGATGAGATTACAACTTCTAAGAACATAAGGATACACTTTTCAAAAAAATATGATTATTTGACTGTGCACATGTGTAGTAATTAATCTGACTGATTGTTATGGTGGCTTGAAAGTGTTGTGAAACTATTGTTGTGATGTATAAATTAAGCTGCTTCTTCTGATCCAGACAAAGGTGATGTAAGGTGTTATGGATGTCACCTGCAGCAGGGGCAGTTCCTTCTGTGAAAGGAAGGCAGAATGGCTGGATACCTTGTTAACTCGTCGCTGAGAAGTCCCATCAGACTGGACAGTATATGTTGGATGTGCTGCTGGGCCAAAATCTCAAACTTCATTGTGTGTATATACATGCATATAGCATATCATATGTCTCCTTTGGGTGTTTCTTTAACTGTACTTTGGGGTAGTTAGGTATGAAAAGGCACAGATGACTGCTTGATTTTAAAACTTTACCTGAATAGGTTTGCCTGCTGGGGCTGAGGAACACTTAAATGGTTCTTTTTGTTTTCTGCAGTGGGAAATACCTAAATTTGGCTTTGTTGCATGGTTTCATAGGGAAGAAACACCTTCTCTTTACTGGTCAAATGTCCCTATGCTTTTTAATCAAGGAACCTCAAAACTAGTTTCCAAACAATGGTGCATGTTTCATGTCCTGCTGGATGTCTTCTGCACACTTCTAGAGCCTGAGCTAGAGCTACCATCTTTTCAGATGTTTGTCTCCAAATTGTGTGCACTCCTGAAAGGAAGTAAGCTGGGCTTTTTCAAAGACCAGTGTATAGGGCAGAGGTAGAATGGGGAAAAAAATCTGATATTTAATTTATTGAAGTCTTATCTGGTTTTCATCAAGCTACTTTAACTTCATCTCAAGTCAGTGTGTTGCACTTACAGTATAGTATTACTCTGTTACTTTTCCCATATAAGAGGCAGTATTTAAGATGTCTCACAAACTGATATACACAAACCCATTTGGTAGGGTCTTGTCTCATAATTGGTTTTCTCTTTCACTGAAATAGTTGGATAAATTGTCTTCATTATTGTGCCAGTAAAAGTTATGACTTGGACATCATTTGAAGTTGAAAGTTCTGTCCCGTATTATGACTTAAAAGCAAGGTCATTGTAGCATATGTGGTGAATAATTTCCAAAACCCTTCATCTGGGTTATGAAGCCTTTGGGTCACTGTAACCTGTTTTTTGCTGCAACCGCCATGGAAGAAAACCTTGCTATACTGAAGTATTTCTATACTTCAGAGCAAGATATTCAATCACGTACCAGCTCTCAGGCTTCAGCGTTTGATTTTTGCTGCAAATACCTATCTTGGCTCAAAAAAATTGTCCTTTAGACCTTAATTCTGATTATAAGAGACCCAGAATGCATTTGTATCTCATGAATATTTATCCCTTTCTTTTTTCCTTAGCTGGGGAGGAAAATCTGCATGTAGCAATAGTCACAAATGTATCAGGAGAAAAAAGGAGGTTTACAGTCTCTACAGATGTTGTCTGTGAAGTCTGTAGTTACACGGCTTGTGTTTCTTGCTAGAAGTGACTGTGATTTGTTTAAAGGCCTGGTGTAAGCAACCTGCCTGGTCCAACGCTATCTAAACATTTCTGAGTTGTTTCAGAATAACTGTGAATAGTTGACGTAAGTCTTGTCTGTCAAGTACATAGGCTTCTTTTAAACCTTAACCAAAAAAGCCTTGTGGAGTGACTTAAAAAATGTATTTCTGCTGCAGAAATGAAATGTTGTGACTTTAAAGCAGGAATCTGACAGATTTCTTTAAGGTGGAAGGGGGAGGGACTGAGCCAGAGCAGCTCCCTCTCTGCCAAGTTTTGCATGGATGTGGCTTGAAATGGTCAAGCTATAAACTGTGGCGGCAGTGTTTGCAATGGAAAACCTGACAGACAGTGAAGCATAAGCATAATCCTGAGCAGCTCTGCCTCTGCTGCTGCTCTGCTTGCAGGCAGGACGGGTGCTCTTTCCTTGCAGCCCCTGGGAGCTGTGTCTGCGGTGGAGGCGTCGTGGGATGGTGTTTTCAGCTGGGCTGAGCAGGACCAGAGCCATTTCCTTTGCAATTACATAACTGCAGACCAATTTTCAGTATTATAGTACATGTAATACGTAAAACAAAGCTATTATGGCTAGTGTAGCCTTTTCAGGACCCAAAGGGATCTCTGGGAAGGGAGGCTGTTCTTCACTCTTTATCTGGGATGTGGGACATGTACTGAAGTATCACCATAAGGAAGGTCTCTGCTCGTCTGGGAGTCCTGACTTAGGGGACTTGGGACCTTCTGGTTGTCTGCAAAGTGTCAGGAGACTAGTGTGTGCCTGGCAATATCCTCTGCTGCCCCATTTGGTTTCCCTTCTGCTGCTCACTGCCTGCAGTCATGATGTAGGAAAGGGACATAGAGAAGCCTCAGCTCTCTTGACTCCTGGGGATGCACTGGCTTCCCTATTGCAAACTCCCTCTTCTTGGGCTGGGGGCTTTTTGAGTTAGGCTTCTGACTCTTCATGGAGAACATAGCACCCTTTATACAAAGCTGTTGCTTTCCAGGGTTAAGTAAGTGGATTTATTTGGTACCAAATAAGGCCGAGTGCTTTCATGATTGACTACTGCATCTTGGCTGAAGGTGCACCCTTAAAGGGTTCCAGGTAGGAACAGAGAAACATGGTTTCTTGCAACTCATGGATCAGTCTTGCATCCTTATATCCCCTCTGCCATGCCTGTTTTTGCAAGTACCATTGATTTTTAGTCCCCTTTCTTTAGTGTAGGTGGGGCTTTTGTTTTAAATTTTGTAAAGATCAC